TGATGTCTTTCAATTGAGAAAATAGTACATATATATACAGCCTTGTAGATACTAAAAAGGAAGAAAATCATACAGCCTTGCAGATACAAAAAAGGAAGAAAATCATACAGCCTTGTAGATACTAAAATAGGAAGAAAATCAAAGAAAGAATAATTCCTATAGTCAAGCTATTCCTAATTGGACTAATACTACATATTTACAGCCTATAATTTCATAACAAGTGTTTTAAGTTGTCTGTCCCATCATTAATCAGGGGCATTCCAGTCTTTTTCTGTAACATTGTACTATACTCTAATATAAATAATAGTACTGTCGACTGGGCTATTCAGTTTGACATTCTCAGCATCTCTTGGTCTCCTTCTCTCTTCTGCTACTTCGGCTACAGCATTTCAGCTTTCACTCACTATCTGAACCACCTGCCCCCTAAGGAACAAAAGACACCCTTCCCTAACCTCCATCAAGATTGTTAGCAACCTCCTTTTTCTTGTCAATTCCTTTTGTCTTCTTGATCCTTTTATTTATTCCAACCCCAAAGAGCCCCCCCCCCCCTTCAGTCTAGCAAACACCTTTGTCACTGGGACAGATCTGTTAAATTTTTTATGCCTAAACCTTTTAACCACATTAGGAGGATCCACGTAATTCTTTCTTTCTTTTTTCCTGAATTTCATTAATCCTTTCAAGCTCTAGGACAGTGTTTTTCTCAAACACTTGCTTTGCTGCCTGGAAACTTCCACTGTTATGTGATGTCCTTGCTTCACTCTGAAGATTGTCGTCTTTCTCCCCCTCAGCCCCATTAACAGGAACACCAGAATTCAAACTATCTGCCTTGCTATCCTTCAAAGGCCCCCCAGTATTTTCTTCTACTTCCACCAATATTTTAAACCTTGCCTAAAGAGCTTGTAGAGTTACTCGGGTTGGCACCTGAAAGATTTTTCTCTTTGTTTCTCTTCTAAAAAATACGGCTTCAATGATGGTAAAAGTAAATTATTTATACCATCTTTCAATTTTCAACTGCATACAAAAGGCTATTTTTTATGGATTAACAAAACATTATAGTAGGTAAAAAGAAAGATATAAAAGATTCATTGAAGGGAGGCAGAGACTAGAAGGACCCAAAAAACAGATTCTAAAGAACCTAACATCCAAAAAAACAGTGTACATTAGAGCCCACTGTAACAAGAAGAGCCCAACAATATATAAAGATATCTTTAACGCCCATGTATAGTGTCTCAAGTTCTATTTACCATTATGCAAACAAAGAATCCAATTGAAAGTAATATTGAGAATATCCATTACAGCATTCTAAAAGGATTATGCTACTCACAGGATGAAATCCACTTTGGAGAAGGAACTCAAGCGCAGCATGGCAAAAGAAGCCAAATCTCTGCCCATCATTCCTACATCCATATATGCACCCTGCCGAAAATAATCTGCACAAGAGAGAAGTGTGTCACAAATTTAATACATTATCTAAAATCCAAAGGCAATATGTAAACTAATTGGTAAAAAACAAAAGATAAAATTATTTCCTACAAAAATATCCAGACATCTATAAGAAGATAAAGATATGAATCGCTATTGTGGAAATTTAATTTCAGCTCAGGCATATCTCTATAGCAAGAATTGAACGATGAGTTTCAATTCTCCAAGTAAAAGACAAATAAAAAGTTTGCGAGCCCCAAATCCCTTTACAGTGTTCTACCCAGATCCAAGCTTATATATTTATTATCTAGTCTAGTAACCTTTTGTAAGTCATGAAGAGCATCATGTAATAAAGATAATTCCATGGCACCAACCCAAATGGATCAGATGCAGGTTTTTAGACATGCTTGACATCTTAACTCTGGAAATCTATACATTCCATCCCCTCCTTTCTTTAAATTTGTCCACCATGGTAGTTCTACTAAGGAGGAAAATTCTAAGAGGACTTATGGTGGGAAACTCTACCATGAAATAGAAATTCCCTAGACTCTCTCATTTCCAATTTCAGAAACACCCAATTGCATTTGCTGCATGTGAATCTCATGGTAGGATCTCTTGGAATTTCAGCTTCCAAAAGGGGCTTGGTGGACCATGGGGAATGTAGGTGTCTTCATTCTGCCTTCTTCTGTTGTAAGGGATGCTCCTTGTTTGATCTGGTTTTGATGGTATGATTTGGACTATGATTCCCAAGGATTCTTCTCTCTAGCTTCCTTCTTCAGTGCCCTTCTCCATTCCTCCCACAACCATCCTAGTTTGGTGCTTTCTCATCTAAAGCCATTTAGATCATGGTTTCAAATGTTGCGAAATTTCGCTAATGTGGCTCGACATATGTCAATGTCAAGGCTCATCGACATGAAAATGGATGGTAATATAAAAATTACATTATTTCGGTCGACATTTCCTATATTTCGGAAATGTCAACCAAATCGGTCCAAATAACCAAAAAAAA